TCTTTTCGTATTACCTTACCGGAAAAACAACCAGAACAGTAGCTAATAAACTTGGAAGAAGGTCTCACAGGATGGTGTTTGATAATTAATAGATGTTGGCGATGCAGACCGTGTGAAGCTGAAGCATACTGACTGTAAATTTAGTTCTGATTTTATTTTGGAAGCATTTCACTGAGATAATGTCTTAACTCTGCAGCATTTGTTAATATATTTGATATCGCTCCGTAAAATCAGAGGAGGAAAACAGATCGGTATATTTACTCAGTGACAAATGCTTGAACTAAAAAAAAAAATCTCACTAAACTAGCCAGAATTTCACCTTGTTAATATTAAGGCAAACATCTCTTTGGAGGAGGCAGTGCATGAAAAAATTTGCTAAGTTCTGTTTCATGAAATGATAGTGTAACTTCAAAGAATTCCTTCATTTCTCGTTGGTCAGAAAATCACACACGTTATTCCGGAAGGCAGTTGTATGAAAACTACTCCAAAATAAGAAACAAGGATAATTATTTGCAACCTGCAGCCAAATGTGAGATAAAGGTGTCAAATCTGTGGTGATCCACATCTGAATTTAGATTTTGTCATAAGTAAAATGGGTCTGTTTGTTTACTGTTGTTACTGCCTGTCACGTCTCTGCATCAGAGCATTATCCTACTACATGGTACAACTCAGTATCATCGGCAGCCTCCAGAGAAAAAGAGACAACCAGAATATAGAAGGAAGAAGAGAAGGTCACGATGCATGTCAGGGATGAGGTGTACTCAGTAACTTCACACCTGCTCTTGCTTTGCCTGCCTTTCTTTTCACCAGCTTCTGAAATGAAAGCACAAATCACAAATGCTATATAATTTTCCCCTCAATAAAAAAAGCCAGAAGGCAGACAGTCCCACCTTATAGCTCATACCCCAAGTTAAGAATCATTAACACTCTTAATACATTACTAACAATGCCAAGTCTACAAAACATAGCCTTCTATGAAACACATTTATATAAACAGCTAATACGAGGATGTCAATGCAGCCTTATTATCAAAGCTAGAAGTATATAACAAGTTAGCCTTGGAAGAAACAAGAGGCATCTCTTCCAGACAAAAAAAAAAAACAAAACAAAAGATAAAATTTTTCTACCAAGCCCCTCACAGAATCCATTAATATGCTTATAAAATCATTTAGCCCTCACCACACGATCTCAGGAAAGCATCTACTCATCTCTAGCTAACACAGCTGAGGAAGAGAGCACAAGCTGTTCTGTTTGCTGCTTTGCACTGCTGTCGCGGTGCAGTCTAATAAGGGCAGAGCATCTTATATTTTCGGAGTCACATCCTTTTGCATTTCTAAACCGATAAAGCGACCATACACATGTGCATGCATGTATCTTTATAAATATATATATATGCCTTTAGTAAAGGCATAACGTACTGTGAACAGTAATGAAGAGAGCTCATGCTATGTCTCATAGGCCCAGAGAGCTTAAGAAACAGCTGGAGATAGATGAGACATTGGAAAGAGCTGACAGTTTCTTCATGGAGGGTAAATTCAGTCTGATGTGATCAAAGAAAAAAAAAGTCCTTCTGCTGCTAAAGAGCTGTGTAGGTACGGGACAGTTGAGAATTAATGCACTTGAACAACAGTCCTTCCCCTCAGTCCCTTCAAGAATGAGAAACATTGTGAGTGATCATCAGAGGCCCAGTAGCTACCGTGACATGACGGCAAAAGATGGGAGGAGTTCACGTGCTACAAGGAAGTTCACACCACAAGAAAGGTTGGCCTGGATGTAACCAACTAGATACCAGTAAACAGTGAAGCCTAGAAGTTAAAAAAAAAAAAGATGATTGTTTTTGTGTAGTAGAGCTGGCTTCTACACAGACAGCAAAAATAAAAGGTAGCTCTGAAACATCAGAACTACCACATACCTACAGATCCATAGCTTGCAGGTGACTGACTTCAGTGTGCAAAATATGCAAGGGCAAAGATTAAAGCTTTTCCTATCATAAAGGCATTTAAGAAGTCTAGCAGTCCCCCTGTTCTCCCTAGGTAACAAGTTAAAAGTGAATGTCTTTTGCTGAGAGGGAACTCCTACACTCTCCCTCTTCCACCAGCTACCTATTCCATCCAACCCTCAAGACTCGTGTCCTGCAGCTTCTACTCCTCTGACAAATTGGACTGAAGTTGGTTCACGTACTCAGATCTATTGCTGGGCGAGGGAGGGAAAGCTTAAGTGACACAGACGTACTCATGTACAACAGGACCATTTCCTTATAAAACTCCTTCTTCAACTGAGGAATAATGGAGCCTGAGGTTGCAAATGTTTTTGTTTGGGGTTTTTTTTGTGTTTTGGTTTTGTTTTTTTTTAATTATTAAGTCAAGAATAAAAGATTCTAGTACTTTATCATACCTTCTACGGAAATATAAGTTCTTCCAGATTTCCTGAACCTTTACTGTTAAGGAGATAAAATAAAGGTCTTCGTGGACCTAAAGTCTTCTGTAGCACTTGAATAAACTACAAAGATATTTACAATTTCAACAGTCTGCTCATCCACACTTGTATTTCAAACATATAGAAGTAGGCATAAAAATACAAAGTCTTACTAATTCCTAGTTGTCTGATACGAAGCTTTGCAAATGACTATCCTTTCTTCTTTTGCACCTATTACTGTAAGACTAGTTTTCCATATTACAGATTAGTTACTGTTTATCAGCATGGCCGCAATTTAGTCATTCATTATTAGCCAAACTTCTGGTAAGCCTTTGCAACCTGTCTTTCTTTATCTGCACTTCCATGGAGCTGAAGTTTTCATAAACATCAATTGCAAGAATCCACTACAGCTCATGTACACAAAATGCTAAAAATACGAGCATGAATATCTAACACTTCTATGCTAATCATTAAAACAATCACAAATTGAAAACACACGATCGAGAAATCTATCTTTTTATCATTACAAGGAACATCAAACAAAGCTAGCTGCATCCAACTGAAGTATCACTTCTTTCACGAATTAAAGCAGCAAGGTTTTTTAAACCACAGGAAAGCTCACACCTCCAAAATACAAAACCAAGAAGGGATGGGAAGTAATTTGTGCAAAACTAGAGATATTCGACTCTTGGACAGCGTATGCAAAAATCTATGATACAGGCCATTTTAGAAAACAAAATATTTAATCAAAGATAGTGCTGTCAAAGTAGTCAACTTTTTTATACTCAGCTGAATTAAATGTAGGCTGTACAGCAGTAAGCCTTCCCCCATCCTCTTTCTTTTTCTGACTTTGGTCTTTAGAAGCAGCAAGGTACCAGACAAGCAAAAGTACAGAAGGCTTTAAATGGAATTATTTGATGTGGCAAAACAGCTTTTAGGGACCGGAAGTGTTTTGAAGAAAATTGTTTCCTGCTACATTAGAAAACTGTATCATCAAGAGTAAAGAAGAGGTTACCTACTTTGACATTACTGTTATCCATTGCTCCTTTCCCTTACGCTATTTTAGAGTACACTATTCCTTTCCCTTTGAGTACCACAAATTAAGACAGCAGCACAGTCTGTCCACATGGTCAGCAGAACAACTGACTTGCATTTGGTCTTTTCCTAGCATTTTCTTTCTTGCCTTAAAATGAAATCACTGACAGATTTTATTTTCTTGCTAGGTAAAGCATTTAAACAAGAGATCCTTATCTCGCCTTTTGAAGTGGTGAGCTAACCCCCCTATTTGTTTTATTTTCCCTTGTGTTTTTACTTCCCTTCCATACGCATAGCAGTAAGGGATTTATGGATCCTTTTCCCTTTGACGTATGATTTATTTGGCTCAGTTTCCACCACTTTAGTGTATTGTGCTATCCCACTGCCTTCGAGTCACCAGAATTCCCCGTTCAACTTTCAATCCTCTGAGAACATAACCCTTCTACCATTACATTTTGTAAGACAATTTTCAGTTTCTGCTCCAAGTCTTCTATCTTTCCTTCTACATTGACACTAGATACTATGGTATAAGCACAGCTCAAAGCAATTATTCTCATAGCTCTGAGACCACATTCCTTTTTCTTGTTTTTGTTCTGAACAGTTTCTTCTTTTCAGAAGTAACGCTACTTTAAGAATTGCTTTAAAGGAAAGTGGTAAGAGAGGTTGCTTCTACATGTCAGCAGTCAATGTTTGCATCAGGGGTGCATTACAAAGAATGTTGTTTTCCCATTACAAGCTGATATTCAAACAGGAATCATAACATGAACAACAAGCTAAACCAATGCTGTATGGAAAGGCCTGATTTAGTCATCTGCTTCTCAAGACCACATCAGCAGTGAGAAACAACCGAAACGCTAATGCACCAAAATGTATGTACCTTCAAAAAGAGAAGGAAGAGCTGACCGACCGTTCAAACGGAAAATAAAGACCACCACCCAGAAGGAAACTGAAGTGGCTATCTGAAAAGCCACCTAGCTGTATCCCAGCCTGTTTGCATATCCTGTTATTTAAAACGCAGCCATTGCTTTTCCAGTCCTCCCATTCCATTGTCCTCCTTATGACTCCTTGAAAGAGTCTGGACTTGCAGAAGAAACATGTCTTTGACAGCCATGCAATTACTCTTTCTAAAATCAGCTAGGTATCAGTTCATGTTGTTCTTCAAGTGCAGTTTGAAATACAAGCATACTTATATACTTTTATGTATAACGAGCACTAAGTAAAGTTTAATTTTCGTTTAGGAAATAAATGAGATAACTCCAGAAAAATAGCTGGCTTTAACAGAAGAACGTGACCAGCTAAGCTAGCGTACCTCAGTTTTATTTCAAAAAACATGTTTGTTACCATCGCATGTTTGTGCACCTGATTGTGCCTCTCCCATTCACAAAAAAGATCTTCTGGCAGAAAATTATATAGCATTGTATAGTATAGAAGAATCTGGATCGACCTGTCAAATGGCATTTACTCATAAATATGGTTATATATGAAAACCACAAGCATAATGTTTTAGTTGTGGTATGTTGGAACAGGAGGAAAAAATACAGTTAAGACTGTTTCTATTTCCATTTACACTTTTATTGCAATACCTGTATTTTAAGCGTACAGATACAAATATAAAATGACCCATGAAAGAGTTTAAACCTGCCCAAATAGCGAACTGAGAAATTCATTCAGTATTAGAGCCAAAGTTGACACGATTCCAACAGGTGATAGGAAGCTTCCCCAGCCTCTCTCCAAGAACAACCAGGATCCACCATATTTTTGGTCCAAGATGTATGCTTTAAGCTGGCAGCTGAGTCTATGAACGAGTGTATTTACCCCAGATGTGCAGCATAAACACAGAAGCAATAAAAAGAAGACTCATGACCAAAACTGGAACAGGCCCACTAAAAATAAAGAAAAAAAATGCATTAACATTAAAAAAAAAGTCTGCTTTGTCCAAAGGCCAGTCATTATCAGCCAAGTGAACTCATCAGTTCATAAGCAATTGTACGACAAAACTCTTATTCCATTCCCACAGAAACACCTTAAAGCACACAGAAATGAGACAGTCATCTATCAAAAGCTGCTGCCGCCCCTTTTTAAAGGTAGTTTTACACACCCTAAATGTACATAACTATAAAGCACAATATAATATCAAAACTCCCATTTATTTAAAAAGTAATTAATGGTGTATTATTGCTCATCATTGTGAAAACAATCTCTGGAAAGTTATCATCTGTATTTACTATTCAGATAGCCACCTGAGTAGAGATGTAGTCAGATACAAAAACCAACAGAGTCCTCTAGCGGCTAGTAAAATTTTGGCATAAAATCACATTAGCTGTTTTTTCAGAGGCTTTATTTCATTTGAAAACAATGGCAGCATGAGTGAGAGACAGGGACTTCCATTTTCTTGAAAAAGATACACAGAATGTCAAAGTTAACTCCATCATTAAATCATTACCTAAAATGCACAGATTAACAAATTTCTGAACTTTTTTCTTTCCCACTTTTATACATTGTTTAGAAATTGTATATTGATGTTTTTTAAAACACAGTTTAATCTCAGGGTGCATGTTGACAGACTAAGTCAGCTGTTTCCTGCTGTTCCGAGACACAAAAATTACGCGCACTATTACACAGTTACACACATTCAACACTGCTTCACACCACTCACTTCATACAATTTAATTTCTGATTTTTAACCCGCTATTGGGACATACACAGACCTGCTATAACACCATGAATTCTGTTATCCAGCCCAGATTACCCTTCAGGTTACTGTTTATAAGCATGTAAATGTTACTTGAATACAAAGTAAAAGAAACTGAAAATGGATTGAAGCAATTTACTAACATATTTTTCTATGAGATCATGGGTCATGCACTTCAAATGTTAACTGTAATCTTACACTGAGTTTTAAATTCATCATACTTGGACTTATTTGGGTATGTAGAACCCCAAACACAGACATAAAGCATTTAGCAAATAAACCAATGATAAAATGTGCAACATAAAGAGTCCACACACACAGTGACTACATAAGCAACCCCTATCAAGCGATATCTTTCACTAAGCAACAGAATGGATTTCCCAATACCCAGTGTTTTATACATATCTGAAGTTTATGTCCTGCATAATATAAATTGTAATGATATCAGGTGCCCAAAGTCCTTACATTGTATCTGAATTACTATTTAATTCATTTGTGCCTTTAGTAGCAGTAATACATAAGCTACTCTTTGCCAAAAGCACACAGGAATAGAGGAACATTGCTAACCAGAACCGAACAAGATGGAAATAAACAGGGGGGATTGTTTCTGTGTTTCGGGTTGTGTTTGTTGTTTGTTTTGTTGTGTGTTGGTTGTTTTTTTTTTTTAAACATGCAGGTGACATCGATACCCCTACAGAATAATCAGCTTTCCAATACTGACACGTGTATCCCATTCCCTCCAGTCCCAAAGACAACCTGCCGAAACCCTGCAATTCTCCTCCATACACCTAGATCTTCTTAGCGCACCATGAAGTTTAAATAAATAAATCTGATTCAGGCACCTCTAAAGATTTGGTACTGTGCATTCTCAGAATGTCTTTCCTAAGGCTGCATATTATAACACAAGCCCAATTTGATTCGCTATCACAGCTCCACAGGAAACACCGCCTATAGCTCTTTAAGCAAGCAAGCTCAAGACAAGATACAGGAACCACAGGTACCAAGTGCCACAGAAAGAGGAACAAGTTTGAATTTAGTCTTCTTTTCAAACTATGTGATGCTCAATCTGAGTTTTAAAAAGAAAACTATCATACCCCACTCTCAATCGGATCCCCCACAGCTCTTTCGCCAATACTGTTTTTAAAGACACACGTATTTTGTAGCATCCTGTACTACCGATTAATGTACTTTCCTGAGGTGAACCAAACTCGTTTATTCAACATAGTTACTATTTAGTATCTGTACTCAACGTCAGAAACACCTGAAGCAAAGGTATAATTATGCACAATATAAAATACAAATCTTTTGGTCTAGAGAGGAATTCTCCTGATCATAGGTAGCGTGAAATAACCTGTTCTCAGGTGGTTTTACGTATTTTTTCACAGTAATTTTAAGAGCTCATATTTTAACAACATGAGAAAACAAAAAAAACCCCAACCCTACCACCAGACTAAGCTTTCACACTGCTTTATGCAGTAGTAATCACAATCATTTTTTAAAAAAACTTCAGCTGAAGCACTTTCCTGAGGCAACCACAACCCCCCTATAATCCATTTTCATTTTTAAGCCTACTGAATAGGACAGAGATTGTAACAATCGGTTTCTATGGGAAAAAAAAAAGCATAGAAAAATACATGGAAAGCTGTAAGCAAGAAAGTTGCTCCCAAGTCATGGTTCAGGAAATGTTACATCTAGTGTGCAGGTGATCTGCAAACCCAACTTGCTTTTACAGATTTGTTTCTGACATTAAAAGCCTGACTATACGGCTACCCATGGTAGCTTGCAAAAAAATACTCCCAGCATTCCAAAACCTTAAGATTGGGAATAACCGTGTTGCAACATAAATAGATGGGAAAAATCTATCTACTGGCCTGCTTGTATTGAAGATTAGAACAACTGAGTGGCTATTCAACATCAAAAGTAAAACCAAAGGATATCAAGGAAACACTGAAATTGGTAAAGCTGCTCTGACAGCTTGTATCACAAGTCTATTAAAAAAAAAATTCTACCTAATGGTAGAACATTTCTGTTTTTTCTCAGTTTGGTTTTTTTGGTTGGTTTTTTTGTTTCTTTGTTTTTAAATGGAGCTTTAATAGACCCAACAACACAGAAAACAGTTGCTCTGCCCATCTGCATAGATTTGTTCTAGAACACTATTGTTGCTTGTTGCTTATCGTCTTTTTCTTTTCTTTGCCTTCTCTCGTCTCTGGATTCAGAATGGAGAAAGCAAGACCTGCAGTAGCAGCCCACCACTGCCTTCATGGTTTGCTGTATAGTTTGGTTTTTTTAAAGTATCAAGCACATATGGAAATGAAAATATGCAAGATAACTTCAGAAGAAGGATCACTCATGGAATAATCACTAACTAGACTATCACCAGCCCTTCCCCAAATATTCTGTTCATGCAGCCAGCAGCAGCCCTCTTAAAGGGCTCCAAAATAAAATACTAATGGATTCTAGAAAAAAGAAGCAATAGGGACATCCCAGAGTGTCTTGAGTCTCCTCAGCCCAGCAAGAACACGAGGCCACAAAGTACAACTCTACAAGAAGCACTCCCACTCAGCGTATGACTTAGCACGCATCCATTGGCTGAAATACACCTTCCACCTTTGTTACCTAAATTATTACGCTGCAAAGTTTGTTTGGGAAACTGATCTGAATGACTCAAGTTGGCCAAAAAGTAAAAACTTAGGCTCTCTTTAAGGGTCACTTAAACTTAAGGGTCACTACCAAGAGATATTTGGCCATAACCTTGGAATATTTACCTCGCAAAAACAGAGATATACAATGTATCAGAATGCTATTTGCTTCTTAGCTGATATAATTTATCTTTTTAATAAAAACATCTGAGATTCTGCAAGCATGGAGCATATCAGTTATATTATGTTTTCAAGGCGGCGGGGGGGAGGCACACAGGATCACAACACAGCTATTAATAAAAACCAAAACTTTAATTAAAGAGAACAAAAACATGCATGTAGATGCCTAAGTTCACTGTGACCAGTAATCTTTCCCAACTTCAAAAGGATTGCTTGCAGTCTTCAAAGACCACTTAAGGTAAGTCTAGCAAATTATAAAATATAATTTGTACCTACCTTTTTAAATTCACTACAACTTTCAAAACTACCTCTCCAGCTTTACAGATTAAATAAAATATTTCATCTCAAATCTACCTAAGCAGCCATCAATTCAGCATGCTTTCCTATGCAGACCACAACATCGATCTCTCAATTCAAAGACTGAAAGACTATATAAGCAGGTGAAACATATAGCCCCCATGCCCGCCACCACCCATATACCCAACTTACACTTTAAGTCCTGGAGAGTCCTCAGTGTAGAATCGCCACATCCCACCAGTACCTGTGGAAGTGGCACGGCCTGCGCTTCTCGTTCCACAGCTGGCATTCTTCCTTTAAGGGATAACAGAATGAAACAAGAACCAAAATACATTAGCAGTCTGCCAGCTTCCATCCAAACCCCCCAAAGACCCTCGGTGGAAGCAAGCCACTTGCATGAGCCCGTACAGCCAGGCAAGCAGAGGGTGCCAGGCAAGCAGAGGGCACGATGGCACGCACAGCACCGCCTGGGCTACAACCAGGGGCACCGAGGAGCGGCGAGTTAGAGCCGTAGGAGCCCTGCCCGCACACCCCACGGAAGCGCACAGCTCAGCCCGTTTGCACCGTCCCTCTACCCCGCGCTGGGGCTGCCCAGCCA